TTTGACAGTAGTAATAACTGAAAACTGTTTACAATTGTTGTTTATCCTATCAAGGTATTTTTCCTTTCTATTATTGGTTCCCTCACATGTTATTGACTCTCAGAAATGTGCATTGGGTTTTTTGTTTTGTTTTTGGTTACACGTAATTCCTTCCAAACTATGGAAATAATAGGAAGACAGCAGATAAGGATCGGGAAATGACGAATTACAGTAAAGCCTTTCTAAAAATGAAGGGGAAAGAAAGTAATTCTCTGTTGAGAAAGCACATATACTAGCAGGTTAGTACACTGAGATTAATGTCAGTAGAAGGTATGCAGAAGCCTGTGCTGCAGGGTCAGAAGACCAGCAGTCGTAAGATCGAATCCACGCGATGGAGTGAGCGCCCATCGTTTGTCCCAGCTCCCGCCAACCTAGCAGTTCGAAAGCATACAAATGCAAGTAGATCAATAGGGACCACCTCGGTGGGAAGGTAACAGTGTTCCATGTCTAAGTTGCACTGGCCATGTGACCACGGAAGATTGTCTTCGGACAAAACGCTGGCTCTATGGCTTGGAAACGGGGATGAGCACCGCCATCTGTTGAGAAAGCACATATAGCAGGTTAGTACACTGAGCTTAATGTCAGTAGAAGGCATTCCCAGACTGGAAAGTAGCCTCCTCCAGATGTTGTTGGCCAGAAACCCCCATGATCTCTCACCATGTAGCTATGCTGCTTTGAGGCTGGTGTGAATTGCAGTTTTAACACGCCAGTGTAGTGACTAGACTGGCAAACTATGGGTCCAAAAGAGATGCTAGAAACAGCTTGTTGTTGGGAGAGTGGATTCTTTAAGTGCTTGAGCAATGCTTGTTTGTCATAGCACAAGCATTCCCATCTTCCTACCTTGCAAATTAAGTTCTATTTGTGTGTGTGTGATAGGTGACTGGGAACTGTGCAGAAGTGTCAGAAATGCTTGAATTGTAATTAGCCTCTGAAGTCAAGCATCCTCATCTTCTGTCTTGCAAGCTATCTGCAGCTTCTGCTTTGGCCCTAGGACTTGACTGTAAATCCTTCCATGGAGATGCAGCTGGGTGGTTCTGTCTGTGTAATTTAGTGCCTAAGGTTGCTGTGAAAATAAAAAAGAGGAACAACCTTGAACTTCTTGGGGAGCAGGCAGGATATAAATACAATGAATAGAGTCCTGTGTGGGAAGGACATGATCTTGCCGCAGAAAACATTAATCATTTCAACAGCATTACTTCTGACCCTTTCTCCTTAGTTTCCTCTTTGGCTACCCCCTGGCAAAAAAAGGAAAGGAAACGGAACGAAAAAAGCCATAACCTAATACTAGACTTAAACATGTTTAACCTCAGTAGAATAAATTGACGCAAATTGCATTGTTAGTGAGAACCAGCATGGCATAGCAGCTGGAGTGTCATACTAGCAGCATTCAGGAGAACCAAATTCATACCTTCACTCAGCCATGAAAACTCAAAGGAGGGTGGCAATGTTAAATAGCCCCTTGCACACCCCACATCTCTTCTTATGGTGACTGTAAAGCCCCATTACAGTCACCATAAGTCAGAACTTATCACACGTGAGAACGTGTGCCTTGAATGAGTTCCAATCCTAAACATATGCATTTCCATGTGAACATATCACATTGAAACCTGTGGGTTTACTTTTGAGGCATGTGGATACTATATTAGGGTACCCATTTCCGAGATTCAGTAATGATTCTTATATTCATTACTGAAGTCAACATGCAGATTTGAAGACTTGGAGTCATCGGTGGTATTTTAGAGATCAGAGATTCTCCTGCTTCTTGTCTGGGAGGAAATTAATAACTGAAAAATACTTTTTCAGAGTTGAGCAAAGAAATTTCTACAGGGGCATGCTAAAAATTAGTTTATGTCATATTTTTATGTTTTCTTCCTTATCAAATCCTACATAAATATTACACTCCCAGGAGGAGGTATAGGAGTCCTGTCCCCTTATGTATATAAATGATCACCACAGAATAAACTGTTTTAAAAGCAATACAATGTGCTTACCCACTTGCCCTTATATTAGTAGTCAGTTTCATTGTTATAGGACCCACGAGGAGAATGTCAGAAAATGCTTATCTATTCTAGCACTCCAAAACCACATGTTACTTTAAGAAAGTTCTGATGCCTTTCTCTGCTCACCAGTGGCATATAGTTCAGCTGGTAAGTCATGCTGCTGTTTCAGTCTTGCACATGTACAGAACACCACAGAACATAATTGTTTAAATACTTCACTGTGTACTGACTGCTGACACAAATAAGTGTTTCTGGCAGCTTCAACATGTAGATAGAACAAATTAAGTTGTTTTTTTTTTTTTGAGTGGGAGAAGCAGAGAGAAACAGCAGTAGTTTAATCCCTTATTGAAGAACAAATGTCAGAAGTAGAGAAGTGTTTAGAGCTGAAGTTAGTAAGAGTAGCTTGCTGGTTTAAAAAGCAACCTTGAATTATACTCTGTGGACTGTACAGTCCCATAGTTGGACAGATCGATTTTCACAAAATGATGCAATTTTTTCTCCCAAATGTCTACAATGAAATGTAAACATGAACATCATGCAGGTTTTCTTGTTAGCTGGCCTCCAGAAGTTAATAGTTAATACTCAAGAAGTTCTTCCCATCTCCAGACACTGCTGCTAATGGATGGGGTAATGAAGGTTTTAGTAGAGTTTTTATGGGGAAGTCAATGCTGGCTAGATCTTTAGTTTCAATTAGCTATTGTTTTTAGAAGAGGTTGCTCTTAGGAGGAGTTAGGGCAAATGTGTTCCTTCCTTTTTAAACTTAGGTTGTGTAGAAGGTAGGCCTTTGCTAGGTGGGTAAGGAAACTCTGCACCATCTCAGTTCCTTCTTCTATACAACCACGTAGGTTCTTAATGATTTTCATCTAAATTAATCTTATATGCACAACTGAAGTCAACATGCATAAAAACCAGTTTCAGGGCTTCTGTCCAATGAATGACCATAATTCCTTCTGACCTTGTGGACCAGAGGTAAGTTACAGGGCATTTTATAAACACGCTGCAGACCACTGAATGAGGGGTAAGTTCTGTTTTGAAAGGGAGAAGAACTTCACTTCTTTCAGGCCTGCTTTACACATGAATCCTACTTCACATATAAGCACTCACTGGAAAAAGTTACAAGATTTTGAGATCTGGTTCCATTCAGTGGGATAATAATAACAGCCTCTTTGTGCACCTTGAGCTTAATCAGCAGTTTTCAGAGGACATTTACCAGTAGGCCTCTCGTTCTACAACTTTAGGGGGAAAGTACAAAGAAAAACAACAAAGCTCTGTGGCAACTATCTTCTTTCCCAGGCTGCTCATTCCTTCATTTAGCTTGATAAATGACATTTCATAATAGTTCTTGAGTTCTGAAGTCACTGCGCCACTCGCTTCCTCTTATCTACTAGTGTTTATCTACCTGAACTAGCCTGGTTGCCTAGGTAATTCTTGTTGCTTAGTTACAAGAGCTAACGCTGGGAAATGACCCAATTTCTTATACAGAAGTTGTTTTCCAAGGGATTTTGGGGAGAGCAAGAGCTTTCCTGATGTGGGTACAAGAGACACAAATATATCACTTTTGCTGGGTTTTTTCTTCTTCCAAACACTATCACAATTTAATGAGGGGCAGGCAGAACTGTCCAGTTGTGCCAGTTTTCACCATGATTTCATGGACTATGCCTGGCCTATGAATATGATAACTACTATTGGTTGAGATGTTCTAGAATCTGCATAGCAACATCCACAGTTCATGTGCCATCTGTCAGTGAAGGCAGTGTTTCTCAACTTTTTGTATCCTATGTCCCATCCACCAGCCATTCCCTCCATAGTGGAAACAAAAACAACAACAACTGTTTACCAATTGGACCTTTGCACATTTTCAAGAATTCTGTATTGATCACTTCTTACAATAGGTTTGGAAGACATAAAAGTCGCAGCAGTACAGTTGCATGTAAACAAAGACAAAGAATGGCTACTATCCTGTTCACTGCAAGCATACTGCAGAACACTCTGTTCTGCATGTGGTGCCTCCTTCTTTGCCATGCAAGGGGGAATCCAGCACCCCCTTGCATGAGGAGAAGGCCCATTTTAAAACAAGGGGGCAAGCTGTGGTTTGTTTGAGTGCTCTGCCAGTGAACGTGTTACACTCCATGAAGAGGAGGAGAATACCAGTGGAAAAACATAGGCCCAATAGTCACTGAAAATAGCAGGCATACTGTTATCAATTATTTGCAATTCTTATGAAAGTCCTCTATCCCACCTAGACTACTTCTGTGTCCTACCAATGATACATACTCTACTGGTTCAGTACAACTGAACTGATCTGGATTAGTTCCCTTAGTGCAAATGTCAGAAGCATTCTGTCAGCCTTGTAAATTCAGGCAGGATATGCATCATTTTCACAGGTGTCCAGGGTAAGGCTTTTAGAAAGGCATTCCTGTGTGTTGATGAGAAGGGACAGTGGGTCCCTAACTGGACCTTGAATTGGAGAAAGAGTCCCAGAAGTTTAAAACAGAAGGTTCTTACTGAGGGTCCTAATTCTGGAATATATGGACTTTGCAACTCATTTGCCAAAACAGATGGCTGTCAAAAAGCCATTCTCCCCAAGCCTCTTTCCCTCAAAGCAATAGGGAAGGAGTAGGACAGTTTTGAATACCACAGTTATTTACTGTTTTCCAGACAATGTTTCTTTCACAGCTAGTGCCCTTCAATAAATGTGTAAGCATAAATCTGTTCCCCTTGTTTTTATCTATTTCTGTCAATAAGAGTGTGCGTAACATGCTTCAGAGAGTACTTTTCAGTAGCTTGCAGCTCTGCACGTCCCTTCAGTCAGTGAGGTTTTTCTTAGATGCTTAACTGCATACCAAGCTACAGACTTGGCTGCCTTTTATGTATGATATGATTGTAAAGCACTTTCGATTTAAAACTTTTAAGCTCTCTAAAAGCTGTGACGATAATAAGAACTATTCTAACTCCTTACAGTGCTGGTTGAGGAAGAATGTCTTCAGTCACAGAAGTAAAGTAAGTCCATTAATCTCTCTGTTGATGAGGCATGTGCCACTGAGAACAAGGCAGAAGCAACAGGATACGTCTATATTGGGAGTAGTTCCCAAAGGATGGGGTTGCTTAAGAGGGACTGGGTTATGTCTTCAGCTAACTAAAATATAGGCCTGGAATGAGAGAGGTAGCTTCAGATAACAGAGCTATGAATGCGTATAGACAATACACAATCAAAAGCATTGGTGTAAAAAATGATCCATGTGAAATATCCCTAGTGATGTTTTGGGTTTGTGCCATCCTAAAACTTCACATGGGGCCAAAAGTGCTACTTTGTAGCAGGCCACACTTTTTCAGAGCACTGGGGTTCTGTGTGTCAGACACCTCTCTCCTTGACAGCTTGCAAAGAATGTGGCAAATTATGGACAATTTTTTTAAAAATGCACACCTTCGTGCAGATGGAAGGATCAGCCTAAATAAACAGAGGAGGGGAAAAAATACAACAGCTGTGTGATAGCTCACATAACTTTGCAAACAGTCATTTATTGCATTTTTGTGAACACAGAGCTTGGGGAAATTACTTCTGATATGACTACAAGTCCCAGAACTCCCCAGATAGCATGGGAATTGTACTCCAAAAGGAACTTTCCAAAAGCTTTGTGTGAAACATGTATTACCCTCCTGAATTGTAACTGAGATGTATAAGGATAAGCAACCTGTTTAAAAAGGCTTAGCAACAGAAGCAGGAATGAAACATTCAGAAATTATACTTAATATTTGATTTAGAGTACTTTGGACAGGAGGTAAGTCTATGCCTGTTTCCCTGCTAACAGCATCAAAAGAGAGCATAAAATTTATATCCCAAAATGCATATGCCTCCATATATTAAATATAATGCTCATCAAACCCTTATTTTACCTAGTACCTCAGGAGCGCACCTCACATTACCTATGAAGGGCATGAGAGTACTCTCAGGACTTCCACTGGTGTAGGAAGATGGGAGTTTTCAAGTTACACAGAATTCTCCATCAGGCGGAATGGAAAAGTAGCTAAGTCTCAGGTATTTAGAGGGCAAAAATAGTTACAAATGCAGACATTAAAGGATGCAAGCCAACAAATGTTCAGCTCAGTGACACATTTACCTGCCTCTTGATTATGCTCTCAGTCACTTTTGGATGTGGAATAGTGTTTCGAGAAAGCACAATAACATAGTCTTCATCCAACATGTAATAAATCAGATAGGATTGGAAACAATTTAACATCATCATACATACTAACAGAGATCTTAGTTCTCCAAGTGCTAGCCCTTCTGTAGACCAAATGGTGCCATCCATACCCAAGAGAGGGGACCATCAAGCCTGGGTGGAACCTAAGGTCTGCAGAAGTACCAAAAAAGCAAAACTAAACAAAACTTGAAGGCAGATATTGCAGGTGAGAGCACAAAGAGATACTGAGCATGCCCAATATCTATTGAATAATCGGGACTGATTGCTAATTGAAAAGCTGGGGAGATGCAGTACTCTGAAGGAGGGCTTGGACAGACCAGAGAACTGCATTCCACACTGCAATATCATTTTTTGTTAGGTCCCCCCCCACCTATTACCTCTATATTTTTATATTCAGGCATTGAGTTCTGTTCCTTATGTAGTCCAAACAGTACCCACACCCCACACAAAGTGATGAGTAACTTCAGGGCAATGAAAAATTTCTAGAATTATAAAATTAAAGCCCAAAGAGAGTGGGGGAGATTTCAAGGGAGAACGAAACCAATAAAGGGATGCTCAACAAAATGAAATTTGAGAAATAGAAAGCAAGTATAAGAAATGGAATTATCCCAAACGGCAATATTTTGTTCTGGGTTCCACCTGGCTTTGTTTTTGTTTTTTGTTTTTAAATCTCACTGCCTTCTAAATTTATATCTTAATAATATAATGGCCAAACTCTTTTACATTTTGTCCTTTCATTACAAAGGCCCTGTGACTCCAGTGGCTGTTAATGCACATGGAAATGTGCCTCTGTTTGCCAGCTGAACATTTTTCATTTATTGTGTTGACTTTTTTTGCTACATCTTTTGTGGGGAACTAGTTAAGCTTGTCTGCCAGCATTTGTAACTCTGATAACACCATTTTCATTGAGATATCTCTGTGATTAGGAATATTCAGGCTTAACCTGATTAACATCAACTCTGCCATGTAACTTCATATTTCATTTCCATTTTTGAAGATTATGCATTTAAATGCTAATACCTAAAGAAGATTTATCTGCAACTTTCAAGGACCCAGATCTGAAATACTACAGTACCTGGGCAAAAACACACACACTGCCTTTTTGGATTTTAATTCTTCTCTTATGTTGCTGCAATACTCCCACTAAGATTCTTGGTGGATACAGAAGATCATTGCCCACAAGCTGGCAACTTATTAATGAAATTTATCAAGACACCCTCTTGATCAGGACTAGTCACATTTTAAAAGTTAAGTTATCCCACCCCCCCAGCTGAACATTGGTGGTGATCTGTTGTTCACATAGCTGCATCTACCCTGCAGTGACCTTTCCAATAAATGCTAAATGGCCAATAAATGCTTAATGGCCTTCTGTATCCATCCACAGTTCAGAAAGACAGAGCTGTGATACCTTGCACAAACAATTCCACTTCAAAAGTATATTGAATAACAATACTTGTTACATTGGGAACTATAATAACCAATGACCTCTGTTCAACTTCTCTTCTTTATTCAACAAGAGAGAAGCACACACTGAGAGCCTGGTACCATTCCTAGCATTTTAATTTAAAAAATATATTCTCTCATATCAAGTTCTGGAAATTTGTTTGTCTAAATCTTAAAAGGCCATGAGACATCTGAATATAGAGTACAAATAATATGAATCAAGTTTTTATTGATAGCAGAACTGCACCCACATTTCTGAAGGTGCTGCATAAAATGAGGACTGGGAGTTCAAAAGGTGAGTGATGAGTGTCGCTGCTCATTTCTAAGGAATCCACTGATCTTTTTAAGGTAATGCTTCACTTCAAAGATATTGATCGTGATGTCTTGAACTGCCATGGAATTACAGTAGTAACAAAAAAAGCACAGAGAATTGAATATTTTTAATCTTTAAAATGGAAAACTAATTACAAACGGATCTTCAGTGGCTTTCATCTATGACCCTTATATGGAACCTTCATAATTAAGATCATTATATCTTTAAATACCAGTCTCTGGGAGAAAATTAAGATCTCTTGTCCTAGTGCTTTGCTACTGAGCTTCGTAGAAGTGTTTGGTGGGTCAATGTTGGTAGATAGTGCTGGGCCTTTTGGACTCATCTCCTGGGATTCTTCTTATGCTCTTCTGTATCCAATATCTCTCTCCATCCCCTTCATCTTCATCTAAGAACCATATGATTGATACAGATCTCATCTTTCAAAAGTGGAGCACTGGTTCCTTCCAAGTGGCCTAATGATCTATAAATACAAACTATCTTGTGTTTCAGGACTATCATCATGCGGCCAGAGCTAGCCATGTAGGTTCCCTGCCTCACCCAAGGTCTCAGCATGGACGATACGTGGACGATAACCCAGTAGTCCACTTCTTCAAGAGCATTGTAAGTTTACCTTCCCTCTTAGATTTTTTTTTGGGGGGGAGGGAAGGGGACAAAAGTAAAATCTCTAGCTTTTCAAAGAAGCACAAATAAATAGCTAGCACCCCAAGGTCAATTCCCTTGCAAGGCAAGTGTCATTTATTTTTGATAGTTAACACTGTTCTAAAGCTCCATATAAATCCCAAACAATTCACAAATCCACCACACAGAGATCCTCTTCAACAGGGATTCAGGTCTACAAACACAATGGAATACATGGAAGCCTCTCCTCTGCCTCTTCCTCTCCCTCTGTTAAAGAGAGAGCAAGAGAACCATATATGCCTACTGGAGTTCCTACAGCACATTGATATATTGAAGCCAATATTGTTATTAAGGCTGCAATCCTATGAAATTTATTTGTGAGTAATCAAAGGACTGTCCTATATAGATCATCCTGTGTTACTTGCAGGACTTGTTCTGTTCAGAATTTCCTCTTTCTCCTGTACAGTATCTGCTTTCCTCAATGAAACCTACCTTGAAAAATGATTTTTGTGTGTGTGGGTTTGAGGGAAGAGTGAGATGTTTTGATACTATTAAGGAAATGTGAAGCAAACCGAGAATTCAGTCATTTTAGAAATGTGCCTATGTCCCCTTCCTTGATGTGAAATAGCATACAGATCAATGCACGGCCTTTAAAACAGGGTTCTTGTGAAGTATTTCAGGAAGAGGTAGGCTTACCTATAAAGGTGCTTGCGGTATTTTACCATCTTCCTCTTGTTCTTTTGGCTGGAGGAGAAAGCTTTACTACCATTTCAAGAGGTGATTTGGCTGCCCTCAGTAATTTTTGATAGAATGCTTTATGGGCATTATATATCACAACAAAATACGTGGGGGGGGAGCTCTGGGCATTTTGGTTCCTAAGGTAACATAGCAAATGGTGCACACACCCCATTCAAGATGGATGGTATCCCAAAATACCAACTATCAGTGTTATTTTGTTCCATCAAAAACAGAAAATCCTACAAGTTCCTCCCCTCATTCCTAAAAGTAACAATACAATAAAAGCAAATTATAAAACCAACAGTTTACTGCTCTTTCATGACACCCCAAATGTACTGCCTGAAGTAGCTGCCACGGGCACCTCACCCTACCTAACAGTAAGGCCAGCCCTGAAAAGGCCCTGATTCTTGTGAGAGACAGAGGGTTGCCCTGCCTTGGCAATTTAAACAGTTAAAAATAAATAAATAAAAGAAAACAAACCTAAGCATAGAGGGGAAGCGTTTTGGTTACATATCTGCTCGTATCAACTAAACAACCAATGTGATACCTTGGGTTACTCAGGAGTTTTGGACTGCAACTCCCAGAAGCCTTCATCACCAACTGTGCTGGCTGGGGTTTCTGGGAGTTGCAGTTCAAAAACATCCGAGTAACAAAGGTTAAGAACCACTGAACTAAACAACCAATGTGATTGGTATTATTTATATTTACCTCTATGCTATTATCAACCTAAAGTTGCTATATGATAGAGGTAAATTATGCTGGTGGAAAATGGGCCACTAAGAGCTTATTGGATCTTGTTCTCAGAGATAGCATAGCAAATTATACAATCTCTGTGTAAACTACAGGGCTTTTTAAATAATGTAAATTGCCAGAAACTTGTAAGTGCTGAGGGACTCCCTTCCTTGTTAAGCTGCAGTTAATTTGTAACAGTTCTATTATAAAGAGATTTCCTCCCTTAAAAAAAACCCTCACACACTTAGAGTATGTTTGTATCTGATGAATCTTCTCCAGTTTGTTATGCTTCCCTAGAGAGGTATCAATCCCTCAGGCTCACCCACGCTAACTAAGCAAGGCAATACATGACTAGTGGGTTTATCTGGAAATTTCCTTTTAAGAACGGCATGATTCTAAACATGAATCTCTGAAAATGGGAAGGACTGATATTCAAGGCGGCAGAAGCTAACCTGAGAACAGTAGTCACTTCTAGTTATTGCATCAAAAGAGTCATGTGGTCAATTGGCTGCATCACACTCATGCTGGATTTTAACATGGCTTACAGGTTATGCTCTTGTCCAAACTAAAGTTATTTCCTATACAAATATGTAGCAGTGTCTTTCAAATATCTGTTAATGACAAACAGGTAAGATGCATTCTAAATAAAATTTCAGGTCATCAATGTTCAGCAAAAAAAGACCTTTAATATTAGAAATGAGTCAATGAGCCATCACAGTTCAGTTTCTGATATTGCGGTTGTAAGCCCTGTTGCATCCACACAGGAGGGAGTTAACCTACAGTCATGGGGAAACAAAATATTTTCAGAAATAACTCCCTTCATTCCCCACCACCACCACCAATTTAAACAAACAACACAAATTTAAGAGTCAGGAACCCATGATGAAGATGGAGCATGCTCAATAGCCAAAATGCTGAGTCGTAAGAAATAAAAAGAAAATGTGAAAGAAAGAGGAGACAAAAATAGAATGCTGGGAATTCTGAATAGCAACCTGCCATAGTACAGCATACTGTTGTAGATATAAGCAACCTAAGACAGTTGTCATCAACAGTAGCTATGAATCTGCAGCCACAGGGCAAACCACACTGGCTTACATAGCTCTGTGCTCTAAGACATTGTGGCATTCTCTGACCCCTAACAATAGCTGCGTGATGCAGCCACCTCACTCTGCCTGATGGTAGAGCTGGCCTTAGTCACAGGTCCCACTCATACTTTCTCACAGTGATCTCAATTCCTTGCTTAACAGTCCTTAAATATCTAAAATAGTTGCAACCCTGGACAGATGACAGTACCAGCCTCAGACAGCCTCGCAGATCAACAGAAGTACAAAAATATGTGTATTTTGGAGAGAGAGGGAAGCAAAAAGGCAAACAGAGTAGCTCCAATGAGGACTGAGCATGCTCTGTAAGAACAAGATACAGGTTGACTGTTGGGAGGGGAAGAATTGAAGTATTTTGTGCAGGTTCTGCTTGCTGTTCCTATTTTTTAATTGTGACTGCTTTTCAGGTGTCACCCAGGACAACTCCTCCTCTGCAAGCAAAGGTAAACGTTTTCACATGACAACTAGACATTAGTTCATGTCGTAGGTCCCTTGGTGTTCCTTCTAGCGCTACAACAAAGAAAAGCACAGCCTTTAGTTTGCAGGATATGAGCAGGGCTTTTAATAATAGAATCTTTTGGAAGTTTTTAATACATAGGGTCACAATAAGTCAGAAACAACTAGACAGTATATAGCAACAGCAACAATAAAAAACAAGATGGGACACCAACTCCCATAAACAAAGGCTGATGGTCATGCTTTCTTAAACTAGTATTGCTCTGAACATTCTTCCAGAATTATGCAATATATGCAGAGTTTTAATCATGGTCTGGTATATGATAGGCAGCCATCCTATTGGTTGTACATACATATAGGTGTGTCCTTCATGTACAAAGGCAGCCCCACAGAATAACCTTATGTCCTACCATGAGGTTACTGCTGCATGACTAATAGTGGCAAGCCCATATTTATCATGGAACAGATTGTGAGTGCACTTGGAGAAACTACCAATGGGTGCTCCGGGTCTCTGAGATCATCTGGTTCCTCTGCTGAGATAAATCCAAGACCACATCCAAACTATGTACCTGTTCTTTCATGAGCACAACTCTGCTCAAAACAGGCTTTTAAAAATACTGCATCTGGAGATTTGGACAAAACATTGGGAAGAACTTCTTGACAGTAGGATTTGTTAAACAATGGAATAGATTGTCTTGGAAAATGGTGAATTCTCCTTTACAAATGGTGGGTAAACATAGATTGGCAAGGATGAAAGACTATGACAGACAGCCAAAAAGCTCACAGGCTTTTTGAAACTTTGATCCTAGTTAACAAAGAAACCTTCCACTGAGAAGTCTTCTCCTGTACATCTTCAGTGCCTTTTTGTTCCATGGTGGTCACCATGTCACTGTTTCTGTTTCTTCCATGTGCAGGGGAGAGGATCCTCCTTCAGCAGATTTAGCTGGGTAGGTGGTGAAAATGCTTCTCTATTTCCAGTCATTTTGCTTGGCCTACATATAGTATCTTTTCTGTTTTCCCTGTCTAGTTGCTGTATAATCCTGATGCCCATGTTTTTATCTTTGGCTTGTTTCCTGTGTTCCTTCTTATCCATCACCAGTTCCAAAACAAATTTCTTTATTTCCATCATTTGATTGATTGATTGCTTTTATCCTGTCAAACTTCCTGTGTAATTAAAAGCTTTCTGCATAGAGTGATTTTACTGCATGGCAAATCTTTTTCCTTTATGGCTACTTAAAGATTCTACTCAATGGTGTGTACCTGTGTCATGGTAAGAGTAAAAACACATCAGCAAAAAGGTGTTTTGAAATAGGAAATTAAAGGCTGCTACATTTCTGTACAGAACCAGGGGCAAATCACTGGATATAGTATACACGTTTTGTATTCTATTATACTGTATAAAATAACAATTTATTTATATCTCATGTTCATCAGCAGCTGCAGTTTTAGAAAGAAACCGATGGAGAAGGAGGATGTGTAATCACTTTTGTTCCTTTAAAGTAGGCCGAATAACATGCATGGGCTCTGAGCCCAACATTACTTGACTGGGTTAGCTATTAGAACATTGTGATGAAACCAAGAATTGAGGAGTTTATTTGCTGAGAAATTTTATTGTCATCTTTAACACTCATATTTTCCCCAACAGCGAGAAAATGAGAAGAACCTCTTTTATGGTGTCACACATTTTCTCTTGAGCTCCTTGTGTACATCTTGTTCTTTAGACAGATTTTAGGTTAGGGACAAAAGGCTCTGCAGATTAATACTAACAATTTTACTTGCTGATCTTGTCATGCAGAGAGCAAAATCAAAGTTGAGGAATTCTCTTCTACTGAATCATGTTGTTGGAGAGAACCAGAATCAAAACCCATGAGTGTTGATATGGTCTTGCCCCAGGCCTGGGGGGCAAAGCGCTGAGTATCAGCAAAAATGAATTCCAAGTTCTGCTTTTTTGAGGGGAGGAAGGAAACAGTTACCACACTTGGTGTGGTCAGTCTGCCCAGCTCAACTCTGAAGGAATGGAAGGCAAGACATGGTTAGCAAAGGGGGGGGGGGGGGAAGTATCTAGAACTAACTGCAACAGACTTAAGAGTCTGAGCTCATTGCGTTGGGCCAATGTTAGTGATAATATTTTTAAATGTTTTGTCTGACTTAAGAGGCTGACCTCATTGGGTCAATATTAGTGATAATATTTTTAAATGTTTTGTCTTGTACACACTCACACTGAGCCAATGTTGCCAACATCAGAATCCAACTACAGTTTAATAACACATTTTCAACAGCCCTGTCTGTGATAGTTAATTGACTTTGTGACTATTTCCAAGTGCAAGGGTGTCATGGATTTATCACTAATTCACAAAAGCAGCAAAAGGAATGGAAGACCATAGACTAACAACGTACAGCTAGGTCGTATTTGCAAGAAAGCAACAATGACGTCTGTCATGGATTTATCACTAGTTCACAGAAGCAGCAAAAGGAATGGAAGCCCATAGACTAACAACGTACAGCTAGCTCGTATTTGCAAGAAAGCAACAATGACGTCCAACTTCTGCTAGATACTTTGCTAGGCTATAACAGGCCATTGCCAACTGCTTTATGGGTCCAGTTTAAACAACCCTGAATGGCCTCCATTGTATTCCTAGCTATTTCCACACCATATATTAGGTGGCAGCAGTGGTCTGGTAACCGCAGCAAATTGTCTTTTTAATCTTTCAAAATGGTTGTTGTGTGCAGAACTAAATGGAATGACTTACTATTTTGATTTAAAATTGAATTTTGAAAAACACACAATCCACTTGAATTATAGTACAGTATGTTTCTTGAGGCAGTTTTCCCAAGTTTGGAACGAACATTCTACATTTACTAATTCGGAAACTAAGCTTTTAAATTAAAGTACCACTTCACATTTATTGAGTAAAATGCTGTTTGAAAAGTCCTACTTAATCTACGAATTCTCTTCATATAGTTATGCAATAACCTCCTACAGCCTTTCTTCCTTGTTAACAATGCTTTTCAAAAAGTGGATAAAGTTGATGTGTAAGTATTTGTTCCAGAATATATAATTTTGTCTGTTACCCAAGTATTATGTAAAACCAAACATTTTCTAGAAGTACCCCATTTTGCCAGCACCTCTCTCCCTCTTATATTATTTTTTATCATAGGTAAAATCATGTTATCATAACTATGCCTGTGAAGGGTAATGATGTCATTGACAGAGGGCAATTTTCAGTAGTTAAAAACGTTCTTCTTTTTCCCTGTGTCTTTTCTGACTGGTGTGTAATCCTTTCCATCATATGGAAGCAGTAGAAGCTGCAGGAAGGGAGGAGGAATTCTTTAATTACAGAAAGTCATTCTCACCAGTAATGCTATTTGGTGGCACGAATACTGTATTCAGTTGTTAAAGATTTCCTCCTCCTCTCCTACAGCTCCCACAGTTTCCACACAAGGAAAGGGATTATACAGTAGTTAGCAGATCCCTGGGACAAAAGTAGGAAATATTTAATTATTGAAAATTCCCTCCATCTAATGGCACCACCCTACCACAGGCAAAAGTTATATGACAGGATTTCAGCCAAAATTAGCCATTATTGGAAATTATTGCCATAAGCAATTCCCAGATATTTGAAAGAAAATTATGCCGTAAGGTAAAATGTATTTTGAGTGGGAAGGCTGAGTTCGTCTCATGAAAAATAATAAAAAATTGTACAGCTCCTTAAAAACATATTGACTGTGATTGAATTGAATTGTCCCTCTTCCTACAGATTCAATTGTCCCTTAAATACACGTTTTACTGCTACAAATTCTGATCATTTTCTTCTTATCTTTGATTATTTGGGAGAAAAACTCATCTTGCCTCAGACAGGTCCACTGAGTTCAAAGGGATAAGTGGATATAGTACAGTGGTCCTGTAATTTTATGCACCTGGCTAATCTGATCACAATTTAAACCAATTTCCCTAACCTGAAGGACTGCGTTCCAATGACATATGGAGATATTTGCAATCTTTCTTTTGCAGGGTGGCGAGACTCACAAGCCTGCATATGGAAGTGGCAAATACTATGAGCATAAATATGCCCACAAGGGACACAAAGGATACTACCATGATGGCCAGGGCACATTGTCCAAAATCTTTAGACTGGTAAAGTGAAAAATAAAAATAATGCAATCATGTGTATTGGGGGAAAGAGGGAGAAAACTCGTCCATAGATGTTAAAAAGAAAGGACAAATGAAGTTTTTATCTTCTGCACGGTGCTTCGAAATGTAATGGTGAAAACAGGCTAGGCAGATGATCAATTGAGGCTTATTATGTCAGCAATCATCTTAGAATCAACCTTCCCCTTTCCTCCTCCTCATTTACCTCCCCCCCTCCTTGATAAGCAGAGAGAAATGATTTTGTCAGCTTACACACCTTTTGGTAGCATTTTGGTTAGACTAAGAAAAGCATTGCCCCAGTAAGAATTCTGGAACTTATGTTATGGTCACATAGGGTTGTCTCTGCTTTCTTCTGTAAAGATATATGCTAATTTCATTCCCAGGGAACTGTAGGCCTGATTTTAGTTTCCTTCACAATTGTAATATACCTATACACACATACTAAAATAATAGCTGTTACCAGTGGTGCAGAGGAAAGAAAAATAGTTGATCCATAATTGGAAATGATAAAGATAAGGTTCATCTTTCACAGATCAGGGTTTAAGCCTTCTCAAACAGCTTTGGGGCAGCAGGAAAGACACTAGTCTTTTCCAGTTAAATGATGGCCCTATTGTGCCAACTGCATTTGTTTTGATAGGTTGTTTTGGAAATAATTGTTAAAGACAAGGTTATACTATCCCTAGGAATGGCCGGGTGGGGGGGGGGAGAATTATTTAATACTTGAGCAATTTATATTTCAAATTGTAAAATGACACATAGAAGTAGGTATGGCTAAAACAAACTGGGGGGCACTTAGTAGTGTGCATAAGTCAAACTGTCCCATCCCATCCCTAGTTATTTTAAGCCAGAACTTTCATATGTTCTCACAAGTGTCCAGTCAAGCATCATTTCTAAAAGCTTTGCTTCATGCAACATCACTGCTTCTGGGAGTACAGTGGTGCCTTGCTTAACGGGTGCCCCGTTTAACGACGAATCCGCATAGCGATGTGGATTTTGTGATCGCAAAAGCGATCGCATTGTGATGTTCCCTATAGGCTTCCCTCCCATCATCGCAAATGCCCCATTTTTGCATAGCTGATCAGCGAGGGCAGGGATCTTTCAGCTGTGCGAAAATGAGGCGTTTGCGATGAGGGGGGGAAGCGATCATCCCAGAAAAGAGCCGGGAGCCATCTTCTCCGCTCCAGCCCCTCCCCCTCCCTGCTTTACAGCTGATCCGTGCTGCTCTTAGAAGCTTGCCCAGCAGGTAAATAGGCAGTGGAAATGCACTGGGGAAGCCTCTGAAAGCGGCGCTTTGCCGGGGTGGGTGTGGGTGTGGGTGTGGCAGGGACAGCCCCCCCCCGCACCGCCCAAGGCAAAGCGGGGCTTTCAGGAGGGGCTTTTTACCTGCAGGGCAAGCCTGGGCAAGCTTCTAAGAGCGGCGCGCGGATCAGCTGTAAGGTGGGGAGGGGGGGGAGCTGGAGTGGAGAAGATGGCAAAATGGCCATCCGCTGTGTTTTGGCCTGGATTCCTCGCTTACCGGGCAGCGAAAATGGCCGCCGTATGGAGGATTTTTGCATAAAGGTGAGTTTTTTGCCCATAGGAACGCATTAAATGGTTTTTAATGCATTCCTATTGGCTTTTTTTCGCATAGCGAGGAATCCATATAGTGACGGTTTTGACTGCACAGATTCTCACTATGCGGGGCACCACTGTACTGGGAGGCAGGCTTTGTTGAGTTTTAGACTGTCTTCTTTTTTTGTTTAAACTGATTACATGTGACCATCTAATTTGTGACCTGTTCAGATTGAAGATTAGATGAAATAATTATTTTCTCTAACGGAGGGATTTCACCCAGGAGTGCTCCTATGAGAAGGATGTTTCCCAAAAAACCCTTAATAAACATTGCAAAAACTGAAGTTTAATGTGTAACAGCTGAGTGAAATAGTGCCCATTATGTGTATATTACCCAGCATTTCTTTTCAGACTCCTCAAAATAAGCTGACTAAAGGAAGTTTTCTAAAACACAGTAATGCATCTAAAAGATCCACATCAATGAATAAATCAATAGTTCATTAGACATAATTAATAGTCCATTAAGCATCTTTACAATGGTCTGCCTATTTTGATATTGATGAAACTAAGCAACAGGGCTCAATAGCAGCTGAGCTTACAAAAAGAAGTAATGCACTGTTTGATGGCTGTTGTTGCTCAATAGCAGCTGAGCTTACAAATGGAGAAGTATTTAAAAGAAGTAATGCACTGTTTGATGGCTGTGTCATCAAAAGGAAGCTACAGAATTAAAATGAGAGGATGCCAAAAACCTTTAAGTGTTAGCCTACCCCACACAGAATAACACATTGGCTTAAATCCTGTTGTGTAGCTAAGTTGAAGTTGTGTAAGCCACTGTGAAATTTGCAAAAAGGCAAAAGTCTTATCCAGGAAGAAGTTCTGCAGAAGACGTTGTGTGGTCAATTGCAGTTTATTGTGCAATTTGTTACACAATCAAATGTCTGGACTGCCTGGTTGTAACTTCCTGTGAATTTCCACAAGCATAACTTTACACTATGCCAAACGCTGTATGAGTTTAGTCATTGAACTGCTGCAAATTCTTAGGACCACCTCCAAAAAGCAGAGATAGGGATGCACTGCATATTTAGAGCAGTTTGCCACCCTTTTAACTGCCATGGCTCCTTCCTAGGGAATGCTGGGATTTGTCATTTGATGGCATTCTTAGAAATCTTTTTTATAGAGCTCTAATCCAATTCCTTAAATTAAAGCTGAAACATCTATGTACAACACTCATGGTTCCACAGTGTAGTGCCAAAAGTGGTTTCAAACTGCTTTGAAAGTGCAGTGTGATTATTCATGAAGCTCTTTAAATTTGTTAGCCTGATGCCGGGAGATCCTATTATAATCTGTAACATTTTGTTCCAAAAGGGAAGCACAGAATATGCATTAGTTTTCTTCATTAAGGGTATTCTATGAGTGTTCAACCCAGAGTTGTGAATGTTAAACATGCTGAGAATTAGGCAAACAGTGGTGTTAATTGCATATGGATAAACTAGCACAGAATATTACTGTAAATGGCAGGCTTTGTTTTGTGTTTGTTTTAATGATCTCAACATCAGTGAAGAGAATCCATTAGAAATAATTAATGCTCTAGTCTATTGACCAGGGGATTATAGAACATACTAGCAATTCCTACTCATTGGGCATTTTCTTATAATAAACTCAAAGTACCTGAAAACAAAGTAATAATGAGTACATTATTGTCTTTTAAAAGTTTGTATTTTAAAATGTAATGTATTTAGATATCAAAATATTTCAGAAATCAAGGGCACAATCCACTATGCACTACTAATGTGCATCCTCTGTTCTTTTCAAAGGGGGTTCACTTCTGATTCCTATAAAGGGCCCATCTGAATAATGGAGACTGGGCTGCATTTGTTGTTTGGAATCAAAGGAAACAACCCATATTGATTTGTTCCACACTTTGACTAAAGTTGATTATGTAGCGTACAGATACTAAGGCAATGTTCATTTTAACCCCATTTATTTTTTTTCTTTCCAAAGGGAAGCTCCGGTTCCCGACCTGGTTCCCGGTCTGGCTCTCCCATTGCTAGGCGCTGAAGCTCTATGATGTCACTGAAGGGCTACGTTCTCTGCTTCATAACATAGCTGCCTTAAAGATCTAATAACAAATTGCAGATTCCCTAGATAGAACACACAATCTATTTGTTAAAGTCAGTTGAGTTATGCATGCAGTAGTACACAAAATTGTATTGGCATATGCTGACCAACAGTGGAACAAAAGCAAGCAAACAACAACAACAAAAAACCCCAAACTTATAGTGTAGCTTTTACTTGCTGTCAGCATTATTTTGGGGAAATTAACAGAATTCCCAATATTATCCATTCTTCTTCAAGGTGTTCCCAGACAATATAGGCCCTTAATTTATCAAGCTCATACAACATTAAGCCCCTTTCAGAGTTCTTTTTCACTAAACCTTAAGTAACAACCTAAAACTCATTAAGAGATCTAAATTAACATTACCATTAACCTTTGAGATTTCTGCTGTAAACGAACAATAACAATAATAAAGACATGTGCAGAAGTTGTAAGGACTGTTTATCCAAATTTTTTTATTATTTGGTTTTGGTTTTGTCACCATTAGTTCTTTTCTGTACCATTTTCGCTCACAATTTTCATTTTTAATTTTCTTAACTGGATTAGGCAGTCATGGAAAGGTCTATTAAATTGTGAGTTCAAAGTATGTTGATACATGGGAGATGGCAGCTGGTACAGTTCAATGAGACTGAGCAAAGATAAGAAGGAACTTATTCACATCCTAAGGGAACTACTTGTACAAGGCCACTGCTCAGCACACCCCATTGATTAAGAATTAAGAGTAGCTGGGAGAGAGAACATAGGATATCAAACTTGAATTAGACTAATTTTATGACAGAAAATGAGGGATAATCCTAAAGAAAGTGTCATCTTGGGCATGCAAACAGTGGATTGCCCCTGCAGCTCTATATAGGTATTTGCTGCACAGTTAAGTTCTTCTGCAGCTTAAATAAACAAGTCAAGTCTAATTTCTAAATGACAGAAAGCCCTTTGGTAAGGAAGTTTTAGATAGTAACTGCACACATGATTTTAGCACCTCTAGCTGTTAATGCAGCAGAGTTAAACACACAGTGCAGCAGAGCAAACTACCCTGTTGCATTGTAGGTAACAAATATTAAAACTAACGAACTAGAGGTAGGTATTAAGAGTTCACACACTAAGATATGCACATGTGGATATGGGTCTACCAATCTACATGAAGAAAAATGCTCTTCTGAATTGCACTGGTTTAGCATATTCAACCTATCCTGTCTCTAAATGACATTTGATTATGCAATGTTTTATTTCAGCTCATATGTTACAGACTAAGTTGGCACCTGCTTTTAGCTAGTTAAAGAATATCCAGCATTATCGATGTTAATGCCAACTGATATATAGACATTGTTGTTGTTGTTCTTAATGATAGATTGCTTATTCTGCCATAGGTTTTGACATTCTTAATATGCACCAATGAAAGATGAGAGGATGGAAAAATAAACTAAACAGAGTACCAAAACTGTCAAGCACACACACCTGTTACATCTTCTTTCAAAATGTTGTTGGCTATGTGTACTTTTCTATGTGTAGCCTCATCCAGTTGTGTAAATCACAACATAATAGTGAGTTTCATTTAAGTGTATTGTTCTTTAAAGTGTATCAATACAACTCCTAAAAATCAATATTGAAATAAAATACTCAACTTTTAATGAAATGTGGATTTTTTAAAAAAGGTTTCATATAAAGGTTTAAGTCAGATTGTACAAACCATAGACTAAGTAACTCCAGTGGATTAAAATATATCTGAATTTAATGATCAACCTTCAGAACATTTTATATATCTTATGTAAGGAACTGAGAGCTACAAATTTGGGTAACATTACTTGCTATAGAACATTTTATACATCTTTGGAATAGTAAATCTGCCAACATTTAAAGTGTAAAATGTTTACCATGTAAGGGGTGTGCTGCCAAGGAAGTATGCTTAGGGCTGGAATGTGAGAAGTAATCAATTTCCCCCCATTAAATTACAGCTGTCAAAAAAAATATTATTGCCAATATGTATCAGTGCAAATTACTCATACCCATTTTTTCAGGATGAGAGCATTTGAACAGCTTTCTTTCCGCTACTTTAGAAGTTGCAAAGTTGATGCCATATAAGAAATCCAATACTATCTACTTTCAAGCCCTAAATCCTTCAGATGAACATTCTAGCTAATTAATGCTCAATTCTTGCCCTCCAGCTCTGTTCACTAAGGATCTCCTGTCCTGGAGAGAAGGTTTTCCTTGTTGCCTTCTCCTTGATGTGCCAGTGAGTGTGAAGAAGAAGAAAGATATAATAATAATCTTAGAACTGCAGGGCTGGAAGGGACCCTACCGATCATCAAGTCAATAATTTCAGTTTCTCAAAGCATTATTTAATTATATAAGCCCCTATCTGCATATATGAGAACTATGCACAGGATACCAAACTTTTTATGGTTTTACATTACTTACTAGATTTCCAATGCATTTAATCTGATCTCTCACTTCATAAATTGTTTTTGGCTAAGCAATCTCATTATTTCAACACTCATCCTGACCAGATATTCTGTCATGCATTTAAATGCTGAAGCCCAGCAAAGTGATACTCTGAGAACACAGGCCACCAAGCTGTATTGGTTCTTCTTCTCAAAAATATATTCAGCTGACAAAATATGAGATACACACCGTCTTTCATACTGATGACTGTACGTGTGATTGAAAGCTATGAAATATACCAAGCACTTGAGATAAGTGATTAGTACAATGGCTCACACATTATTGTTCAGTGATGACTGCAAACAGCATCTAATATGTCTAATCGACTTTGTTTGGTGACTGTAATAAACAGCTGCAAGAGATGCAGTGAAATATCTACATCCTTATGAAAACAAACTAACTCGACCATATCATTATATGTGAAATAGCACTGAAACAATGTCAATTCATTTTAAAATAGTCCATTTTCAACTACACCTTTGTTGGGAAAAAAATTCCTGTCTTTTAAAAGTCACAGCTACCTCTTCTTTATGCATGAAGATATAATACAAAGAACTAAAATCATATTCTTCTCATACATTCTTTACTTTCCTTTACATTATACTATTTAAATACTATAATAAGCATTTAATTCTAAAACCAAATCTCTGTCCTATTAAGTGGAAAGACCAGCCTTCCCATGATGTGAAAGCATTTAAAAGGCATTCAGGCTTAGAACTGTGACAATATTGCACTATGTATCCAGGTAGCATACCTGAAATCAGTACAGTACAAGACATCAAACAGATAAAACACTGTTGCCCTGCTACTATGTTATAGTACAGAAACTCCACAGATGAATACAAAGCAAAACACAGTGGGTAGAAGTGTCTACTGTGGGACTCTGTAACATGGACAGATTATTGAGGAAGAAGCAATTTATAAGCTGAAGCATTCTAGAAAGAAAGGCCTATTGACCTTTCCATCCATTCAATCATTAAGTACATCATCAACTTTGTTGAAAGTCTCAAAGGCCAATGAAGTTATTAAAATAAAACTTTCACTGAGGAAGTCTTGGGATCCAAAATCTTGATCCAACCATGCACCCACTTTTCTCAAACAAGCAAGCAAATATCAGAATACATATGTATCCTATGTCCCCTGCACCAGAAATGAAGAGAAGTTGACTCTCTATATTCTCAGAATTCATTACCATTGGGACATCTAGGAGTTGTGGGTCAAAACTCTGCAGGGCCAGCATTTCACCACCATTTCTCCCAACACTCTTCATCACACTGGAAGTGTTCCATGAGAAAAACTGTCTCAGATTCTAAAAACTGAATAAAAGTAACTACAGTGGTGCCTCGCAAGATGGGTGCTCCATTTAACGATGAATCCACATTAAGCTGAGGTTTTTGCAATTGCAAAAGCGATCGCAGAAATGAAGAGAAGTTGGCTCTCTATATTCTCAGAATTCATTACCATTGGGACATCTAGGAGTTGTGGGTCAAAACTCTGCAGGGACAGCATTTCACCACCATTTCTCTGCAGTACATCCCAACACTCTTCATCACACTTGAAGTGTTCCATGAGAAAAACTGTCTCAGATTCTAAAAACTGAATAAAAGTAACTACAGTGGTGCCTCGCAAGACGGGTGCTCCGTTTAACAACGAATCCGCATTAAGATGAGGTTTTTGCAATTGCAAAAGCGATCGCAAAACGACGTTTTGAATGGGGGAATTTCGCTGCGCAAAGAATGGTTCCCTGTTTCGGGAACCAATTTTTGCTTCCCGGCGATCAAAACAGCTGATCGTTGGGTTTTCAAAATGGCCGCCGGGTGCTCAAAATGGCTCCCCACTGTGTTTAGGAGCCATTTTGTGCTGCACAGGCACCCGCAAATGGCCACCCCTATGGAGGATCTTCGCTGGACGGTGAGTTCTTAGCCGATTGGAACGCATTAACCAGGTTTTAATGTGTTTCAATGGCTTTTTTTATTTTCGCTTTACGACGTCTTCGTTCTACAGCGATTTCGCTGGAACGAATTAATGTCGTAATGCGAGGCACCACTGTACTGTGTAGCTTAATATTTATAGGACAAATTCTAAAATACCAAACAACAAATAGTCAAGTATGGAAATTGTGAAATGTAAATGGATAAGGGGGAAATTAGCCCAATCCAAGGTATAGTCATAAGAATCTGTCACTGGACTTGGAAAAGGAGATCACCTTCCACAGATCATCACAAGAAACTAGTACTGAGAAAGCAGGAAAGCCAAGTCACCTATTCCTCTCTTTTCCTTGTAGAAGCACTCCTTTTAGACCTCTGGGGCAAGCCAGGAATTACTGGAATTCTACCCTCTGGAATTACTAACCCTCTCATTTATCTGCTCTTCTGGGTTGATGTTGGTACCCCACAATCCTGATTTTCATTCCTTCATGTGAAAGTTGAAAAGGCTGAAAAAGAAAAACTGAGGGCAACTGGTTCAGCAAGTTCATATCCTGCCTTTCCTCTGAAGGAGGCACAGTGAGACATAACATTTAACTGCCCATTCCCCTCTCCCACACACACTAGGCCAAGATTGCCCATTGCTTCCCACCAGGCCATGAAGGAATATCCTTCCATCCTCCTCAATTTCAAATCTGCTGCTTCTTTAGGAAGAAATACAACTTTTATATGTACACACGTATATTCTAAGACTTACCTATGCATGCTTTACGGCAGTGCTGTTTTTCCAGCATAAGGTAACTTGTAGCACTGCCAACCTCCTAACCTATTCCTGAACCCAATTTCTGCACCAAATCACAGTTCTTAATTTCTGCCTTGCAACTGTCTCAATCTAAATTTCTGCTAAATGAGAAAGAGCTAGCAAGCATGTTTCAAAAATAAAATCTACTAATTATAATTTTTATTCCCCAAAACATGGGATGTTGAAAATGTGTAGGGTGCTAGTTCTCAAACTGGAGGGTGTACCCCTCCACTAGGGCTTAAGCACATTCCAATGGAATATGCAGTGGTCTTCAGAAAAGCATCCTGAAGACATGTGGGTGTCTCCTTCTGCCTCTTGTCCCTTTTGCTGTGCCCTTCACCAAGCCAAGAAAACTCTAGGTGGATCGCCAGACAAGCAACTTAAAGTAAAGTGGTAACAGCTGTTGGACAGCAAAAGCTTGTGGCAGCCCTGGCTGCATGTCGCTTTCTCTCTCCTGCACACATGGTACCCACGACTACTGCAAGTGAGTGAAATGCAAATAGGAAAAAAATGAGAGAACCACATTTCATTAACTTTTCATAGCAACACAACCCATTTCTGATTCTTTTGCATCTAAACTATTCTTAGTACATTTTTGTTTACTTTTATTTTTCAATTATATATTTAAAATTTAGGGGTTGGCAATCAATGGTAAAGAAAATATGACTGTTGTGGGGTTTATAAATAACCAAAAAGGGGGGCGGGGGGATGATGCCAAGCATGCGGATCAGTTGAACCGATAGCTTCTTTATCACATGCAGCAAAATGGACAGCTTTGTTTCTTCCTTTTTGTCCGGTTTTGAAGGTTTTATAGAGATGAGGAAATTCTCCCAACTTCTACTTCAAATTTTGTCTGGCTTCTACCTTTTACATAAAATAAATAAATTACCTGATCAAAGGTGCCCTAAAACCATGTTGGTACTTAACATGAACGTTCCTTCTTCAACTGTGTAGAAAATATACAGTCGGGAAGGGCACAAAGCAGTCTGCAAGATCTGTCGTTCTGGCACCCTGAAGTCCCACTTTTCTTAATGTAAAAAGTGGGGAAGGAATCATGCTTTGAAAGGTGTGATTCACTTTCAGGATGAAGCATACAACCTCCATGTTCACTCTTCTAGTCATTCAGGAGAGAACTAGGAGCAGAAAATATAGCCCTTCAGATGTTTCTGGACCAAAGCTCCCATCAGATCTAGCTAGCAGAGGAAATTTTGGAGCTGCAGTGCAGCGACATGTGGAAGGTTGCATGCCCCCCCCCCCGTATCGGAGTTGGAGAAGCAATACAACAGTTTAGACTGAATTCAGGGATGTTTTCTTGCATTTTGTACTATTTGCTTTCCAAAATAAACTTCTGTGGAGAAATTAGTATCTATTCTGCAATGTTCAATATGCCTGGGCAGATCATTTCATTTCTTATTTTAACAT